GGACTTTTGTACCTGAGACCTGAACGTTAGCTTTTTAACTTACCCTGACATATCTCAGCAAGAAAAGTTGCATTTCCGTTAGTGCCCTTTGGGAGCTATGTGGGTTGAAGTATAGGAAAAGGTGTTGTTTATGGTAGGGTCTCTCAACAGGACTCCTGCTAGGATGTTTATGACGAAGCAAGTACTTTCTGTCCTCAGACTCCTACAGTCCCTGTTTGAAGCAGAATATGTCCTCAGTGTGGGGGGTTTTTTTGCTTTGTTGTTGTTTTGGGTTTTGTTTGGCTGGTTTAAGATTATCCTTTAGTCCAGGATAAAGCAGTAAACGGTATCTCTTATGCTACTACTTCTCTTTGCAGCCCTGGTCATCCGTTGTGCCTGTCCCTCTTTGCAGTTTTTAGAGCAACGGCCTGTTAAAGGGTGGTGGATGGCTCTTACTTGTGATATCTGCTTGTTCCCACTAGCTCACTCAGAATAACTTGGTTTAAATAGCTTTAGTCTTCTAGACAATATCATTAAGATACTGAAAAGGATATTCTAGCCGAAAATTTTGAGTTTGGATCAAAAGTGCTCTGCTCTCAAGTGTGCTGATCTCATCCGTCTTTGAGCCGGAGTCTTCCTTAAGGGCTTTCCTGGGAGCTTCAGTTTATTTTGTTGTTTTTCCCCAGTTGGTGCTGTCTAGTGGAGCAGGCGCTGAAGTCCTTGGAAGTTTGATCATTGACTTTCATGAGGGAAACCTCAGGATCTGAGCATTTGAGATGGAAAGGGTACTTAGCAGTACTCAAGCAAAGATCTGACTAAGTCAACGGGAGTTTTGCCACCTTCAAAAAATGCAGGATAGCACTCTGCCTTTGCCTTGCCCTCCCAAATGCTAAAGGGAGAAAGCAAAACAAATCAAAATCAACATGTTGTGCTGCATTCAGACTACCTGGAAAGAAAACGTTTTTCAAAAGCATGTATGCATTAAAACCTTTGGAGAAAATCGGTCCTATGTCTTAAATACTGAACATAGAGAACCTCAAGCATACTTATTCCAGAGGCTTAATGCTCAGAATGTATGAACTTAAGATGGGTAAAACCACTGCAGGTTTTCACGTGTTGTCGTTTCCTCTGTAGGTATATATTAGTACGTTGGAGTTATAAAATAGTGAGTTCTTATAAAGAGCTCTCCCAGGACAATCTTTAGGCTTTTTCTTGTTTAAGCCTTGTATATAAGGAAAACGATATGCCAGATTAAAATGAAATCTGGAAGCTTCTTAGGAAAGTGGCATTTACATCCTCAAGCAATGCCTCAACAGTAGCATCAGTAGGACATTCCTCCCCAGCGTCCAGGAAAAAGCAGCTGACAAGTAGAGACAGAGGTATACATCTCTGTTTATGTATATATTACATAAAATGTAATCATTTTTTTTAAGGGGGGGGGGGGGAGAGTAGGTCCTGGGAAGCAAGTGTTGATTCTCCAGGGGTGGGAGGTTTTGACCTTTGAAAAGTGGGTTTCATCCCCAGGGTCAGTGGGTGCTGCTCCCCGGGGCGGCAGCGGGTCCAGCACCAAGGGCGGCGTTAACTGCATGTGTCACCCCCCCCCAAACTGCAAGGTGGAAGATATATAAACAAATATCTCCAATACCTAACCACGCTCCCCTTCTCGCGCGACATCCCTGGGCGCTCCAAGCTGCACCCGGGGCCGCTGGTACCCGAGAGCTGCGGGAGTGGGCCCGGGCTGGTTCCCCAGGGAAGGGGTCTGGGGGGGTGCGCTGTCCCAGGGAATAAAGGAGGGGATGATGGACAGGTCTCACGAACCCGAGGGAACAGCTGGAGGCTACCACTCGCCCCATGCAAGAAGGAAAGTATTGCTATAAATCGGGAATCTTTATAGCTGTTCGGCTGGAGGAAGTTTTTTGGCTGTAAACTGTCATGCACTGCAGCTCTCGCTGAAAAGGCTCTGGAAGTGGGGAGTCCTCTCTCCTGAGAACCACAGTGCAATTAAGATCAGAAAGAGGGAGAAGGAAATAAAATAAAGACGGCAGGAATCCAAGCCGAGGAAAAACTTTAGGGTTTGGTTACATTTTGTTTCGTGGTGTCCGTCCCCCCTCTGCCCCATTCTAAAGACTGTGTAACTTCTGGAAACTTTTTTAATGGTCATTGAAAAATTTAAAGCTGGATAGACTTCTTTTTGAAAGACCAACTAAATTTGAGTGCATACATTATTTGTCTGGAATGAGTGGCACGGTCATTTATTTGCTAAGTATTAAGTAAAACGTGAAAGAGATCAAACTAAATTCGACTTCAAGTCTCCTCCCTTTGCCTAAATTGAGCAGTCAATGCAAAAAGTAATAACCCTATAGATAAGTGTCTGCTGCCGAACTGGTTGAGGTTGCTTCCCATTCCTTGTGTGCAGATAGACGTGTGCGTGTATATATATATAAGAAATTAGCCCTTCCTTGAAGCATCCATCCGGAAGAATTAAATAGTGTTTTTAAAGCTCGGATCGCCTGAACACACATTTAGATCGGCTCGATTTGTTTCATTTATTCTTTTTCGGAACGGGTCATTTTCCACCGAAACGACCCCGTCGCTTTCGAGTCCGGCTGGTTCTGCTGCTTTCGGCTCTTAAACACGTTCGTTGCCAGTTGAGGAAGAACTGAGGCTGGAGTTTCCCTAAACGGGACCCACCAGCCCCCTTTTACCTCCCACCCCCACCCGCACCCTAAAAGAGACGCGACTTCTGCAGGGGGGGGAAAAGTCCCTTTCCCCCCCTCCTTTGACCTGTACGGAGAGAGCGAGTCCTTCTTTGGGGTTAACGTCTCCTGGAGCCCGGCTTTTTCAGGATGAGGATGTTTGCGATGTCGCCTTCAAGGTGCAAACCCAAAATACAGCCCCCCCCGGGGGCCGCCGCGCCGGGGGTTTGCGGGGCCCGAGTGCTCCCGGCTTTTGCTGCGGCGCGTTCGTTTGTTTTGAGTGAAGCACCTGAAGGGAAATAAATACCTGAGAGCGGACAGACCACCTCGAACTATCTAGAGCAGCGACTACGTATCGTGGTAGTAAGCTTCGCCCGGGATTTCTTGGCGAACGCCTCTTTCCCCCTCCGAAGAGGACAAAAAGCGGGCGGTGGGCAGAAAGAGCGAGCCTTAAGAGACTTTAACGCAGGAATTGGTCTGAAGGGATGACAATTTTTCCCGTCTTTCTGGGCAGTGGTTGAAGAGAGCTGGCGTGCGGAATTTAACGTGTCGGGCTGAAGGGGGGGGAGGTAAAAATAAAAGCTCTGCGGAGTCGAGTAAGTTAATGGTAGGTGAGGCGGCTGGTGCTGTGTAACGAAAATACAGCCGTAAGTCGTAGCTCCTAAATCAAAAAGAAACCGAAAAGAAGAGCGGAAGCTCTGGGGTTATTTGAAGTCGGGTGAAGGCAGAGCCGCTCGGGCCGCCGCGGCGCTGTGTGCCCAGCCTGGAAGGGCAGAGGTGCGGGCAGGGCTGCGGGCAGGGCTGCGGGCAGGGGGTCCCTGCCGTGGAACGAGCCGGTGCCCGGTCGGAACCGCTGCCCGCAACCTGCGAACGGCAGCCCGGGCTTCCAGCTCCTTCTGCTCCCGGGTGGGTTCCCCGTGCGCTGCGGGCACTTTCTCCCAAAACTTTCAAACTCCCGGCAGCGCTGCCGCGCCGTGCTCGGGGCGGGAGATGCTTCTTTTAAAAGAGACGCCTTGTTTTTACACCGCGCCGCTTCTTTTCGCCTCTCCTTTGCTGCCGCTTAAAGAACTTGTTATTGTTTCAAGGGACCCCATTGAACTATTTCCTGCTCATTGTCACCTCTCTCCCCCTCGCCCTCTATCCCGGGATTCTCACGGAAAGGTAATAAACTGTTTCCCTCACACCACAGACCGCCGCGGCCCCGGAGAATGCAAACCCTTAAAACACCGGCGGGCGGGAGCGTTCCGGCTCAGCCCTCCTCTCCCTCTCTGCTTTTACACCGAAAAAACCTCGAAAAGTTCGGCCCGTTGCAAAGTTGCACCCGCGGGGCTCAGGCTCCACGCTTGCCCGCAGAAACTCCCGGGTGCGTGTGGTGTTCCCCGTGTTGTTACGACACGGAGCCTTTAGCCACGGGGCTGGTTTTTGGCAGTGCGGTTTTTTTGGAGGTGGGACCGCCCGACCCCGCCGTGGTGGAGCATCTCGGCTGTAGCGGGGAGGGGAGGGAAACGCTGCGCCTTTTCGCGCGGGTGGGCTCTTGCGCTCGCTAAAAGTTGGGCAGAGGGGGGCTGGGGGGGGTTGCTGAGCGTGCCAGGTTTCTGGTCAGCTGCTCCACAGAGCGGGTTGAGCTTTTTCGGGTTAAATTTTCCAGCGAGGGTTGTCGTTGCTCGCCGCAGCCTTCCCTTAAGCAGAAGCGCCGCGAGTGGAGACAAGGGAGCGTGGGAAGCTGCGGGGGGGAGGCAGCCTGAACAGGAGGAGGAATTCCCGTGTTTGTTTTTTTTTTTCCCGTGGGTTTTTTTTTTCCCCCTAACATACCCCCGCGGCGGGGGTGTCCCCCGTCCGGCAGGGGCTGCCTAGAAGCCCGGAGCCGGGGGCTGGCCGCTCGCTGCCCGTGGCGGGGGCCGGGGCCGTGCCCGAGATGGGCCATTTCCTCCGCGGCCGCCACGGCCCCGGCCCCGGCCCCGGCGGCTTTGATGGAGGTGCAAACAGCTGGGGGCGGATTTACATAAAACAGCCGCGTTTAATCCCGCGGGCCGCAATTAACATCACAGGCTTCCCCTCCCGCCCGGGGCACCGTTGTGATATGGCCGCGGGCAGCCAATCGGAAAGGCCGGGCGGGCGGATCAAAGCGGCCGCCGGCCAATCAGCGGGGCCCCCCCGCCGGCGTGGTGATGTCACCGGGGGGGTGTTTATGGCGCGGTATAACAGCGGGCGCCGGCCCCGCTCCCGCTCGCCGGGGCCGCGGAGGTCAAGTGGAGTCAGCCCCGGCCCCGCCGCCGCTCGGGGCTCTGCCAGGGCGCCGGCCCCGCCGGGCCGGGCTGGGCCAGGATGAGCTCCCCCGGGGCCGAGGGGGCGGGTAGGGCCCCCCAGCACCACCGCGTGGATCACCTGCTGAGCGCCGTGGAGAGCGAGCTGCAGGCGGGCAGCGAGAAGGGAGACCCCACGGAGCGGGAGCTGCGGGTCGCGCTGGAGGACAACGACCTGTGGCTGCGCTTCAAGGAGCTCACCAACGAGATGATCGTCACCAAGAACGGCAGGTAGGGCTGCCGCGGGGACGGACGGACGGACAAGGGGGGGGGCGGCTGAGCCCGCGGCGGGGGGAG